TCTGTAAAAAAAATGAGTTATGAAAGTATTTTTTTCTATTTATAGTCACGTCCTGAGGGTATAGATGAGTAAAGACACACCCAAGCATCCTCAAGCAGACCTGAAGTGCAATGGAAGAGAGGGGTTGTATCTGGCCATGGTCTATTACATTACAGAGAGCACCGGTGTATGTTGGGAAAGTGGAGGCAAGACTGTGCAGATTGAGATTGTTAGTACAAAGTCCCTCTGTGTTGGAATCTCTAATTTTTGTTGTTGTCCGCGTCTCTGCTTGGAAGATTTATTCTCTTAATTTGCTTTGGTGAATATTATCACAAGAGAAAGTTATGTAAAAACCAAAATGTTAAAATGATCACAAAATAGTAGCAGGGGGCAAAGAATTTTAATGGTGACACCGATGACAAGAGTCTAAAGGCTGCTACACACTGTAGTTTTTGTGTTCAGCTAGTGGGGAAAGAATAAACTCTTCATTCTCCCAGTGTAAATTGAGGAATCCCCCTCCCTTCCTGGGCTATTGAATTCTGACAAACACAGGTGGGCCGCGGTCAGAATACCCGAATAGTGTTTGGCCAACAATTTTCCTTCGATTTTCAGATCGAAGGAAGTTGGGTGGAAGGCTGCTGACAGCGACACCCACGGAGTGAAGCCATTCATCCAGAACCAGACAAAATTCACTCCATATACAGTAATACCTTGGTTTACGAGCATAATTCGTTCCGGAAGCATGCTTGTAATCCAAAGCGCTTGTATATCAAAGCGAATTTCCCCATAGGAAATAATGGAAATTCAGATGATTCGTTCCACAACCCAAAAATATTCATATAACAATGATTACAATACTGTACTGTAATATAATACTGTATAAAATGTAAAGAAAAATAAACCAATTACAGGTACCTTCGTGGCTGGTGTGAGGGGGACAGGAGAGGAGGATTATTGTGTAGGATGACTTTCACTGTCACTAACAGAATCACTGTTATCTCTTGACTCAATGGAATCTTTTTCATTTTGTGAAACCTTAACAAGGAATCTATCCAATGTGACATGTCTCATCGCTCGCACTGCTACAGCCTTATTCAGGTGGTGCTTTTCTACAAAATTTTGCTCTTATTGCAAGACATTTGCTTGTATATCAAGGCAACATTTTTCAGAAATGTTTGCTTGTCTTGCAAAACGCTCTCAAACCAAGTTACTTGTAAACCAAGGTATTACTGTACATGCTTTAGAAGAGATTCCACTCATTTTGGAAATACTTTCTCTCATTTCCTGTCATGTCCTTACAGGTGGAGGGAAATCTTCTCAGTGTAACATAGACAGCAGAAAAAAACCACAGAGAACTGGCAGAGGTTCAAACCAATATCTACTCTAATCAAAAATAACAACTTTACACTAAGGGCTCTTTCACACTTGCATTGAAAATTTAATGACAGAGCAATGCTGATTAACACACCTATAGTGTTAACAAGGCGCATTCAGCAGGCATTTTCAAGGCATTAGGGAGGTGTCACAAATGCTTGCAAAATGGCCTGCAAGTAGGGTAGGGTAAAGTGATGTAGTAAAGGGACGTGACCAGCAGGAGTCGCAGTAGCTGGGCAGGCTTGGGTCGTGGCATCTGCTCTGTCCTCTCACTCTCTGATTTCTCAGTGTTTTCAAAACCTCCTATATCTCTCCTGAATGCCAGTGCAACGCTTGAAAAATGCCTGAAAAGCGCTCTAGGGAGCATTGACCAAGCGGCTCAATAGACTTCAATGGAGGTATTATTCCAGCGGCAATGTCTCCAGGACACGACATGCAATCTATTTTTTGACGCAACGCTGACGCCCACGTGTGAACTTTACTGGGCAGTTTCCATTTGTTTTATTCCACATAGGCTTTAATAGGCGGCAGAGAGGCGTTAAAAACGCCTGGTTTTGTCGCACGTGTGAAAAGAGCCCAGAAATACCTGAGTCATTATGTATCCTTTGCAAACAAGAAAAGTTTAACATGCTGTGTTGTCATTACTGTACAGCTCATTTAGCTTGACTGCAAGAAAAACAATGTAAAGCCCTCAAGACATGCAAAGCTGCAAGAGAACCTAAACATTTAGGCACAGAGTTTCCATTGTATGATCATAAGACTTAAATGAGTGGTATACAGGAATAGAAAAAAATGACTCATTTCCAAATGATTGAAGTTAAAATATCCCCCAATATTCCTTTTGTCTGTATAGATCAAACTTCTCAGCACTCAAAAAGCAGTCACAGATTCCATTTATGTATTGATGAAATGCAGTTACAATTTACAACAAATTAGGCCCTTGTAATTCTCATTGCAATAATGCCAGTTATAAATATGGACACTGTGGTCTGTTCTAGGGGGGAAGTTATCTATGCAATGTTTTCAGCCTAAACTAATGCTGCTATTTCTGACATTACTGCAGCTGCAATACATCCTGCCCTCGATATACATATACAAGCTTCCTAAACCCAGCCAGGCATTAGTACACATGGGTAGTAGCACATGCTCATAACCAGACATGGCACCACAAAATGTATAGGATTTTGACAGAAACCAACAGAACATGACCAGTTGTACATTTTTCAGGATAAGCTGTTGATTGGCTGATAGTTCCCTTAGTGTAGATCATGTGAACAAAGCTTCCATATGTGGTCAAATGGCTGCTCACAGTGGGATCCTGGATCAGTGGTTTCCACATATTATCAGTTTAAGGCTTGTCTGTACTGGCAAATATCTAAAGTAGGTTATTATATCAAATAAAGCACCCTGAGGTGCCTCAACATGCCGTGAGTTGGCCACGTCTTCCTTCCGCTGCTCATAAAACTCTTGCTCAAATATACAGGAAATCAATGAGGGGAGAAATTACTAATTAAAGTTATGTTGAGAACCTCAGAGTGTCTAATACTGGACACTAGCTGCCTGACCTGAAGTCCAAGGCAGGGTAGAGGGCCTGATCTGTCTATTTATGGAGAGCTTCATATGGCTTTGGCCAACAAGTGGATCTGTGTGGTGTAGCTTCATTGTCCCAGCGGTACCAGCTATTTCTCTTTCAAGAACCTGCTGCTCTATGTGTATGTAAATCATAACATTTTAAAGGGACATATCAGGAGAGAAGAACAGGTGCTATGATTGCAACGTAAAGGGGCATGTCTCTGGGCTATCATGTTCATCAATGCCTCCCTGCTTAGTGAGCCATTAACTTGGAACAAGCATGTGTCTATCAATCATCACCACACCAGATATGCACACACTAGTTCCCGGTAAGTAATCTACAAAGTAGTAAAGGAAGAATAAGGAGGGCATCCTAGGTCAGCAATGGCAGCTTCCATATTCTGACAGGCTCTATTTAATTCTTTATTAATATGCAAAAAAAGTGACAAAGTAATGTCAATTGGCATAGAAAAATTATTATTACATACCCTGTGGGACACATTTTTGCAATATTTTAAGCATTTTGCCAAGATCTACTATCGATTCAGGGAAGGACATTCCTTTATAAAGGTTATTTCTTAATTCTTTCTAATTTCTTCATCCAGAATAAAGCTAACACCATCAAAATAAAAGCATTTTTTCATTGGAAAACCCAGTAAAAAGTCTTCTCACAGCATGGTTTCCTAGTTATAAGTAAAGAAACACCTTTTCTAAGTTTAAGATCCATCACCTTCTTTCACACAAGACTTTTTCTGCCATCACTTTTCTCATCTGGCAGTATGACATTGACAAACATCAACACAAGCAGCATTCAAATTAGTCAGACCACTTGCATAAATATTGTATCTAAACACCCAGTAAATTAAAGAAACAGTTCTTGTAAATTCAGTGGATCTCTCATTGCAGTTAACATAAAACAATTTGAATATTTTAAATTTTTTGGGGCGTGGATTACTTATAGTAAAGAGATTTACAAATGGCTGTGCGATACATGGGAATATCCGGGTAGTGTTTCCCAAACACTGGTCATTAGCAGCATTGCATAAGAATCTGGATCTATCTGAAATGCCACAAGAGACATTGGGAGAAGACGTTTATCGCATGCAGTAAGCTACCTCTGGTTTCATAAAGATCAGGTACTTGTAACACTTACCTACAATATTTACAGTGCTATCAACTTCTGGTCTTAATGTAGGACATAGAACTGTATATTGTGAAGAAACTGTATATGCTCCATTCATAAATGCCAGCGGTCTCTGAATAGGTTCCTCCTGTACAAAACACAGAAGATCAAATAAATCTATCCATGCAACATGCATTATGTGTTTCTTATTTCTTCTGATGAGACTATTGTATTAGGGATCATTACTAAAGAAGATGGACAGCACACAAAGGAAAGAATTTGGTTTTACAGATGTAGCTTTCCTATTTGTGAATTTACCACTTTACAGTTTGTGATTCAAATGAAAACTGACGTTCATGAAGTACATCACGGCTACTTTCCCCTTATCAAATACAAAGCTAGAGCTCTTTTAACCTTCTTAATAGTCAAAATGAAACTGGAAATGTCATCACAAAGTTCTCATAGTTCCCCATCTCTGACGAGTGTTTTTAACATGTTGTGGTTCTTTTCTTAAAGAAGAACTCCAGGGAAAAGCCCCACTTCAAAAGGTTAATCATTTTACCCAGAGTTCTGCTTTATGTACTTTGGAATAACTGTATACAGCACCTTAATAAAGAGTAGGACATATTGGTGTTTTGTTTTAAACATACTTGTGAAGCATTTTTTTAAAGTCCTTGTCTGGATCATGAAACAGAAACAAGATTCCAGGCCCAGAAATCCATATTTATTCACAAACACTCAGCTGATGATCACAAAACACATTCCTCATCACGATTAAAGAACTCCAAGGAAAAAATAAAATGTATAACCTTTGCAGTAGGGCTACTCTCGTACTGCAAGGGTTACCTGCTCGTTTCTGTCTAGGTAAAAAAAAAAACTCACCTGAACCATGCAGTCGGCCTGTTCTTAAACCAGTCCTTCCAGCCACCCTCCCCTCCGCTGCAGTGGTCTAAGGTCCTGTAAATCATCACATTATATACACAGTGTATAGGAGGTGAGGACTCTGAGAAACATTCCAATGCTGCAGCGCAGGAAAAGACAGGTTGGAGGGAGTGCTGTGACAGCTGGCCAGCTCGGAGCTTTGGGTGAGTATAACTTTGTTATTTTTGAACCTAGACAAAAACGAGCACACATTATGTTTATTTCTGCATTACCACAACACACTGCACTGTCTCCCTCCAGTCATTTACATTTCACAGGAAGACCCCTGTGAGGAGAGCAGATATATTTTACATGTTTAAGCCATACACATCCAAAACATTGCAATAGCTTCCGTATCACTTTACAAACAGAAAACAAAAATTATTTAGAAAAGCATGCTCCGTGGCAGTCCAACTCCAGAGAAGGGAGGAAAGTTTAGCGCCTCTGCAGTGTTTATTGCTCTCTGTGTCCTTAATGGGGACATTTCCCCTCACTTCCTGCCAGGACAGGAAATTAAGGTACATCTCTCCAAACAGGGATGCAGACAAAACAAAATAATTTTTTCACTACAGTTGGTGGGGCTTAAAACATGTGGTTTCTATTGCAGTCTGTGCTTTCCTGTCCCAGTAACTACTACTCTACCCTCATTTCTTGTCCTGTACTTACAGGTATCGATCGGAAATCTTTCCAGTGGAGTCACAGACAGAAATAAAACCTGTCGGAAATTTTCAATCTTGTTACTCTCTAAAAATGTTGGTTGAAGTAAGGCTTGAAGGATCTGGCATGGAGTGTTTGAATTTTGAACTGGATCATGTAGAACAGGAATCACATTAACCTGCAGTTAATTTCAGCCTATTAATATATGTAAGAATTAATGATAGAGAGGATGCTGTAAAGTCTAATATACTATGTACTTTACCATGTATAAAAACAAAGCCTGTATTTTTTTATTTTCAATGGCTTGCATAAAAATAAGACAGTGGTAAAGTAAATGGTGGTATGTTTATAGGAGCAGCTTTTCCCAGCACAACTGGAGATGCTAAACAGCAAAGTCACCTTTAACAAAGTGCCACTTTCGTGACCATCAAGTAAGTTAAGGTACAAATATTACACATATAAAGGTTGCTTATCATATATGGCAAACTGCATTAGACAATAAAACATCCTCAGTGCTATGGGAATACTGACTCATATTCATGAGATGATAATAGCAGAAAGTACCGGTTGTTATATTCATGTCAGTATAAACACCAAATACCGTGTTTCCCCGAAAGTAAGACCTACCCCGGAAATAAGACCTAGCACTATCTTCAGGGTGTTTTTTTCTGTTATATAAGACCTACCCCGAAAATAAGACCTAGTTCGGTGGTAGATCTCATATTACAGAAATCCCTGAAGATAGTGCTAGCCGCAGCTCCCTTAAGGCACGCCCCCACCTGCCAGCCCGCCCACCAAACCGTTACTGAGCCGAGCGGCTCTTCATCACCCTGACCACAATGCCTTCCGATCGGCTGACAGAGCACCAAGAGCGGCTCCCTGGACGGCATCAGAGCACTAGCCGCAGCTCCCTCCCTCCCGCGCCTGCACGCCCGCCCACCTGTCTGTGGCTCCCTGGACGGCAGAGTGGACAGCTGCAGCCAAGCCAGGTAAGACATCCCCCGAAAATAAGACCTAGTGTCTTTTTTCGTAGAAAAAAAAATATAAGACACTGTCTTATTTTCGGGGAAACACGGTATGATTGGTGGCATTACCAACAGTCATTGAACAATCGTCCATTTGTGGCTGATTCTTCTGTAATCTCCATGGACACCCCAGCCCTTTAAGATACAATTGTCCTGGCAAGGGCTGCCAGGAATTTTGTATGATCAATAGTTTTACTTGGTGAATTAAACATTACTCCTCTGTAAGGTATACAGTATCTATAGCAAAATCTACATATAAAAAAACTCCGGTTACTTGACCTAGATGACCTATTTCAATTAATACAAAGGGATATACATGGTATATCGGAGCTCCAGGGTACCAAACACTTTTTTTCTCTCCATGGGGTAAAGCATGCAGAGCTGGCTTTTACTTCATCCAATGCTAACCCTTATGGGTAGGGTTGGAGGAGGTCCTAGCCAGGGCCGGCCTTAGGCCTTTAGGCGCCCTGTGCGAGAAAGCTTTACAGCGCCCCTCAGTGACCACACCCCTCAGTGGCCACACCCTTTAGTGGCCACACCCCCCTAACCACACCCATTTTCCCAAATATCCGCACCAATTAAAGACTCTTATTTTGTTAAGCCACAAAGAAACATATTAAAAAGCATGATAAAAATAAAACTTTTATTCAAAGGTATTAAACTTGTAGGCACAATATAAGTATTCTTATCAAATAAAACAACAGAAGGTAAACAATAAATTTCAAACTAAAATAGAGTTTATAAAAATAAAGTGTCAGGATGTCATGCCGATCCTTTTTTCAAGTACGTGCATCTAGAAAAGTAAGAATAGAAAACAGAACACAAAACCCGGACTACATGTAAAATGAATTAATTACTATATGTCCGAATATACGAAAAATATATTCAGGTGCATAATAATTTGTTTGAGAATGTGCGGCGGCCATGTTGGCCACCGGCGTCTGTGAATGCGTGCCCCCATCTTGGAGGCAGGGAGCATGACGTTACATGACGCCATCCATGCGTGGCGTCAGGTGACGTCACACGCTGTTATTGGCCACACCATCTTGGTGTATACCTAGATATACACCAACACGTGCGGTATATGACGTCATGCGCCCTGCCTCCAGAACATGCCGTGACTGAATCCAAAATAGCATAAAAAAGTGTTTTGTTTGATGAAACAAATAAAAACTTTTTTAGTTTTCGTTTATTTCATCTGAAAATAATTTTAAGTCTTCGCACTTGTCTAATAATGTGTGTGTGTGAAGGGGGGGGGGGCTGTTTTCACTTTTAAAAAATCATTTTTTTAAATTTTTTTCATAATTTTTTATTTTTGTATTATTTATTTTGTACTGTCGGGGGGCTTTGGGGAAATATTAAGCGGTGAGGGGGAGAGAAGCCGCCCCCAGGACGAGCTGTGTCGGCCACACAGCGCCCTTGTTGCCATGGCGCCCTGTGCGGCCGCACGTCTCGCACACCCCTAAGGCCGGCCCTGGTCCTAGCTCGTCAGTGGGGGAACATCAGGTATGAGGACAGGTTTTATGACATACCCAATTGACTGTTCTCCAAGGCTGGCTTGAGGCAAGTTTGTGGGCCACATACAAACATGACCTAATTCTGGCGATTAATGAATTTGGTGACTATTATCTCATGTCCACGGGTACCCTTAGGTTTGGGTTAATGACTAAAGAACATAAGCAGATATCAACTACTACTGTGTTGTTAAGATTATAGCAGGTAGTGTGATAAAGTAAAAATTCAAACCTTCTCTTGTTTTATTTTTTCTTCTTTTTCTACTTTTGCTCTTTTTCCTGAAAGAAGAAAATACAAAAAAAGAGTTTAGTTTAGTAGGAAGTATAACCTGTGTCATAATAGTCTGCTACTTTGCATGCAGGACAGTCTTATGTTTTAAGTCACAGCTTGGCAACAGATCTATCACAATCTACCCCACTGATCACGGCCATATGACTGTAGCAGACCTATGACTTCACCCTCACCCACATACAGGACAACTAGCTAAATGCATGTTATGAAATATACTGTGCTATTATATAAACTAATATGAAATAAATATCTAAAACAAAAAATTGATGTGCATGACTTAACATGAGAATCTGCAACCTAAATCATTAAATCAAAGACAGTGCAAAGCAAATTCTTGCAAAATAAATAGCTGTGCACAATCATTTAGGTGATAAGAAAATCAGAGTTCATAGTTTCCGTATACACTCAACCCAACCTCATCTTCAAATAAAGTGCAAATGTGCTCATTTCAAAAGTCCTCCAAACCACAAGTCCAGTGATGATCATCAACAATCGTGCTCTTCATAAATAATATGAGTAAACTCAAAATGCTGATCACCATACTATTGGTCAGAAAGTGCTTTGTACCACCAATCCAAAGTGTTTCTCGTAGTGGGGCTCTCTCCACCACACCTCGGTTTGGAATCCCGTTCAGATAGGCGTTAATACTGAGAAGACAAGACTTTCCATAGTGTAAAATCATCACATTTATAATAAACGCATTTAACCCCATCGTGACTGATGACGTACAGTGTATGTCGCCAGCATCAGGGCTGTTTAAACTTGTAGAGCCTGTCGGCTAAAGGGGTTAAAATGACATTCACAATGTAAAGTGCTTTAGTAGTCAGTTCCGTTGTCACAGAGCCTAGGCAGAAACTGGGCTGTCATTTTAAATGCCTTTATTTAAGAAATGTGATTGTTTTACACTATGGAAAGTCTTGTTTCCTCTGTATTAACACCTATCTGAAATTGATTACTTTAAGATACGAGTTAAGGGGTGCTGAATTACTCTCCAAACATGAAAAAAACAGTGAATGGAAGTGAATGCCATGTTTCTCACCGATGCTAAAAAGGAAGGATATGTTTATATTTTTACAGTGACATTTATATTAGTAAAGCTGTTATTCTTTTTTTACTTTAATGAGGCCTTGCTAGGTTATCTCCATAAAAAAACGAGCTTTACCCTGGTGAGCTTTGACCTCCTCCATGTTGTTCAGGTAGATCTCCACCTCTCCATACCAGTTAACGACCGCTTTTCTAAGCTATCCACAGGAAAACTATGTTGTAAGTAATCCTTGTGTGCTCCTGTCTACTACATATGACTAAGTGCTTCCTATAGCAAGTGTTACACAATACTCCTTTCTCCATCCGTCCTGCACATATTGTAGTTAGAGACATTGATGCAATACTTTGTTATATTGACTTGTTATTCAAATAGGTTTCTTGTTAACCTGAGCTCATATGCAAATAATAAACTTTATGGGCTGCAGTCATAATTTTTAAGTTTTTTATGTTTTATATTTGTTACATGTTCCCATTCACAGCGCATAAGATTAAAAAAAAACATCTAAAAACTGCTTCTTGCAGTTTAAAATGCTTTTACTTGGGTTAGGGTTTCTTGACTTCTTGAGGGTTACAATTTCTACTTGCTTCTTCTTTGTAATGTTAGGAGAGGTTTTGAGGCGTTTGTTAACCGTGTCTGTACTGCGTTGGCTCAATTCATTACAATTTGTAAAGTAGATTTGCACACTGCCTGTCCTAACAAAGGGTTAAAGGATTACAGTCCTGGCTTCTGCATTCTATGTTAATGAACTTAATTTCAGTCCACAGTCTTTCTATAAGTACAGATTATAGGTCAACCAATAATCGGATTTATAGGTATTCACAACTTTGTAAAGATTATCGGTCTCGGGTAAATCTACTGATATTAGCAATAATAAAAGGTGGCCATACACTGTGCCAATTTTGGCCTGTTCTTGAGGAACTGGTTTAAATTTGCACACTGGGTGCTGTTTTCGGCACCCTTGCACCCAGCATCCCTCGATCAGCTAATTGAAGGAGCCGGTCGGAAAATCTTTGTACGAACAGAGCTGGCAGCCAATGAGCTGCCGAGTCTGTTCGGGTATTCTGGGACATCGGCACTCCAATGTTAGATCAAATATAAAATCTTTTTATTGTAGAAAAAACTACATCTCACAAAGTTGTGATGACCGTTTCGAGGGGTTCTCTGTGGGACGTTCGCTGTCTGATGAGACCGTGGCGGTTGCTCCGCGTGTTCTAGGGCGTCCTTTGGTATGTGGGTCTGTAGCGCCGTCTGTTGCCGCCAGAGAGCCAGGGGTATACCCTGCTGTCCTGATAGTCTTGGTTCACAAGATTACATTTATCATGTTTCAACTGTCTTTGTTGATCGGCATATGTGGCAATCTCTGATTCTATCTTCTGCAGATCGGCATTAAGGGCGTCTTTGTCAGTGATTTTGTCGCTTAGTGTGAGTTCTTGTCCTGTGATATCCCGGTTAAGTTGGCATATTTGGGTCTTCACTTCTTCAATTACAAGTAGAATATAATTGAGTGAATTTTGGGTGGAGATCTCGCACCATTTTTCACAAAATTAGTTTTTTTGTCGGCCTATCGTGGGTTGGTTGGTAACCCGAAAAGCCTCTCGGGATCTTTCTGGCACGGAAATATTCAGATAAGGATTGACCGTGTAATTCCAGATCTACACGTTTTTTCTTTAATCTTTTAAATTTCCTTGATAAGATCAAATACTGTATCCAAGCCAAAAGCCTTGGCCGTATCGACAGGGAATAGAATCGCCTCTGCCTCTTCATTACTGTATGTGCCTCGATAGCTAGGAAGAGCTGCGTGTATCTGTTCATACGTTTTTTTGTCGGCCAATCGTGGGTTGGTTGGTAACCCAAAAAGCCTCTCGGGATCTTTCTGGCACGGGAATATTCAGATAAGGATTGACCGTGTAATTCCAGATCTACACGTTTTTTCTTTAATCTTTTAAATTTCCTTGATAAGATCAAATACTGTATCCAAGCCAAAAGCCTTGGCCATATCGACAGGGAATAGAATCGCCTCTGCCTCTTCATTACTGTATGTGCCTCGATAGCTAGGAAGAGCTGCGTGTATCTGTTCATCCATAGGTGGGGTGTTCCAAGTTGGTTGTGAGTTGCGTTATGAATGAAAAAGTTTAAGATAGAAAATAAGGCCTTCTCAGGCTGGATAATCCGCAGGGGTGCTGGGTAGTGCCAAAATCGGACTAGATCCATGAACCCATCGCACTCCTGACCGTTTGTCTCCAATGAAAGAATCTGGGTGCTGCGGTGGTCGACGGACGGCAACCGTCATGTAACAGCAGGAAACAGGGACACCGGCACTCCAATGTTAGTTCAAATATAAAATCTTTTTATTGTAGAAAAAACTACATGTCACAAAGTTGAGACGACCGTTTTGGGGCACACAGGATCCCCTTCTTCAAGCAATGACATGTGGCAAACAGTGCAGACACAAAACACTTTAAATACCAAACACCCACAAAGCAAAAATCAATCAAAAAGCAATCCAGTGATGTCATAATGAGAATGCCAAAATCGGACAAGATCCATGAACACATCGCACTCCTGACCGTTTGTCTCCAATGAAAGAATCTGGGTGCTGCGGTGGTCGACGGACGGCAACCGTCATGTAACAGCAGGAAACAGGGACACCGGCACTCCAATGTTAGTTCAAATATAAAATCTTTTTATTGTAGAAAAAACTACATGTCACAAAGTTGAGACGACCGTTTTGGGGCACACAGGATCCCCTTCTTCAAGCAATGACATGTGGCAAACAGTGCAGACACAAAACACTTTAAATACCAAACACCCACAAAGCAAAAATCAATCAAAAAGCAATCCAGTGATGTCATAATGGCGTCACATTCCCGCCAGGAACAGTTCAAAATACAGTTGTAAACATTGGATGTAAACACAGGAGGTAAATACAGGTATCGCCCAAGGTTTCAACAGTCACAATGCGCAATCTAAGGGTTATAAGAGAGCCATATTAGATATGTACCTTACATTCTGTCTCCTATGTAGAGAATGAAGCGGTGAGAGTACCGCTGTGTGCCGCTTGGCCGGCCCGTCCTGATGTGTAGGGAGAGAAGGCTCCATGATTACGCGCTCAGTGACCACACCCCTCGCTGCCCTATTGGTCAGAAGCGTTCCACATGGTACAGGCTGGGTTCCGCCCTACTTGCGGTAACCCAGCAACACTTGGCGCCTGATCGGCTTACACGTACGGGAGAGCCGTAGTATCGGTCGTCATTGTAGTGGCTCGCTGCCGCTGCATGCAGGGTTACTGACAGGGGAGAGGCAGGGTGTCAGTGAAGATAGTAAAAGACCAGCTGTTTAACAAGGCTTGTGTGCTGGGCTCAGAGTCACTGTCTAAGTAATCTGGGGATCAATTACACTCGATGTTAACAATGAAAATGATCATGTTGTTGTCATACAAACATAAAAGGTCCTGTATGGGAACACCGGGCTGAAAAAAGGAAACACCAAGTGTCTCTGTGAAATTAACCGATACCCTTGGAGAGGTGACCAGTAAGTACCAACAAAGGGACAATCACAAACCTAGGCTGTGGTAGAAACCACCCAAGGGTTTTTGCTTTGTGGGTGTTTGCTATTTAAACTGTTTTGTGTCTGCACTGTTTGCCACATGTCATTGCTTGAAGAAGGGGATCCTGTGTGACCCCGAAACGGTCGTCGCAACTTTGTGGCATGTAATTTTTTCTACAATAAAAAGATTTTATATTTGAACTAACATTGGAGTGCCGGTGTCCCTGTTTCCTGCTGTTACATGACGGTTGCCGTCCGTCGACCACCGCAGCACCCAGATTCTTTCATTGGAGACAAGCGGTCAGGAGTGCGATGGGTTCATGGATCTATTCGGGTTTTCTGACACAGCAGGGATTCCTTGATACATATCTCCCCCCCCCGAAACGTATCATGTATAGGGATGCTGTGGATGAGAATTCCAGTCTGCCACTCACCCTGTTAGATCATTGCTAAAATTAAATTAAATACACAGAACAGAGCGTGACTGAGTGACAATCCTAAATCAGATTTTTCAGACAAATTCCTTCAGAGAAACAGAGCCTTGCCCCTTCCCCTCAAGACAGTGTAATCTGGTATGCGATTGGGAGTAAAAAACGAAATGCATAAAGTAGGAAATGAAAATTAGGATTGTGAAACCCACTGAGCTAATAAAAAAAGAAGGGAAGTTATAACAAAGACAAAACTGTAAGCAAATATGGTTGTTACTATGTCATAATATGTATTCCTGAAAACGCTATGGATGCTGATCCTGCTATTCAGCTGCCCTACTGCAATTATAGATAAGGAGAAACTGTACCCAAATATATAAAGAAAAAAACTACACCAGTGCTGAACAAGGCTGTCAATGGCTTTAGCATAAGATATAAATAAGCACCAGTTTAAACCTGTATCCTGAATCCGGTCCGGTCACTTTTTTCCTAATACATCACTGCGGATTTTAAAGGTCATCAAGGCCAGCTAGGGTGCCTTCTGGCTTTTTCAGGGGAACCCCCTTTAAAAACTATACCAGACTTCTATCTGGGATAAGAATCTTGTATGGATCTAGAGGGGCCACACCAGGGGTGTGGAAATTTTTGAAAAAACTACTTGTCCAAGGGCTAAAGCGGGGGTCAAATCTACTTGTCCTTCATGACAATCTACTTGTCCCAATACAACAACAAAAAGTTTTAAAAGTTTAAAACTAGGGATGCACCAATACCAGTTTTTGGGTATCGAGTACCAATAGAAGAGATCGGGCCAGATTTGATCGGGTAAATCCATTTTCCCGTATTACCTGGGAAAGTGAACTTACCCTTTAATGCACATTGTGTGTGTGAGAGAGTTCTGCTGCCCAGGTACCACAATATGGCACACAGTGAAATGGCAGCAGGACTCAACAGTCGGGCGATAGGAATTCCACACCCCTGCACACAATTTCTTTTAACATTTTAGACTGGGGTGCCTAAAGATTTTGCATACTAAAAGGTGATGTGATCATAAAAAGGTTGAGAAATGCTGATCTAGGCACTTTGCAGAAAAATCTCAACAACTAAAACAAAGTAAGTCATTTATAATCCTAAATGTATAAACATTACAATACGAATGTATAAACATTACAATACGAACAGTATATTATTAACGCAGCAGCCTTCTCACTTGGTGGTACACATACAGGTTACATTAAACCCTAAGCACTCAAATAGTTTAAGGGCTATGAGATCAGGACCAGTACTGCTTGATTCTTGACAAGTCTTTAAACTCTTATGTTGTGTATGGCTCTATGTTCTTCCTGATTTCAACTGAGAAATCTCCAAAATGACTATGTGTTAAGCCAGTGATTTCTTTATGGTTCTATTACATCTTAGCTTTCTTTCATCTTTTAGCACTTTAATAAAGTCAGAGCAGTGAAACAGGTTTGATTCTAGTTGCTTGGGACTGTGTGCATCATTTACGCTTGGTTATTAAATAAAATCATGGCCTCATTCAGTTCACTGAAATAAAGAATGTCTAAACAGTCCCACAGCAACAACATTAGATTTAAACCCAAGATATTGACCACTCAGACACTTCCCTGAAAAGAAATCTTCTTTATGCACCTAAAACTCCTAAACATCTACACTGCTTCCTCTTGTATACCTTTCATACCAGTCAATAATACGAGCAATGTAGCCCATGAACGTTAAAGAGCTTTGTAGAATTATATTGTGAAGCAGCACTGATTTTTATAAGGCCAGGTTCACATCATTTTCAGGACCAGATCTGGAACGCAGTGCATTGCGGGATTGCAGCGTTTTTGCCGCATTATGGAACTGGTTTTTAAAAACTTAAAATAGGCTTTCAGGTGCGTTCCAGTGCGTTTGCATGCGTTTTTGATGTGATTCCACGCGTTCCAGTGCATTCCTGACCAGACAAAATGAGACCTGTAGTATTTTTCTGGTCTAGTCTGGAATGGACTGCGCTGGCCAGAAATAGCATGGGAACACAGAACCTGATTGCTCTGCTCATCATAACATTAATGTACTCAAAAGTATCTAACACAATCATTGCTACAAATTGAATGACAGGTCACCAAAGTCAAAAGGAAACATCATAGCATACCTCTCTTTGAAGGTCTTTCTGCTACTGGTATCATCCGGTATACTCTAAATGCATTATTGCCTTTCTTCATACTCTTGTCCTTTACTTCTTCTATATCTGGTAACGAGTTCATTGCACACCTAAAATTCGCCTTCCATGTCTTCGGATCTGGCTTATCTACACCGGGCTGATACTTCCCTACCAATCAAGAACACAAACAGATCATATGATATAAATATCTATAGCAGGAGTTCTTAAAGCTGGCCATACACTGGTAGCTTTTATATGAAAAATCTCATCAGAACATTCGATAAAACCATCAGAGACTTGAAGAATGTAATTTAAAATTTAGTTTGGCTTTAACATTTGATTTTGGAATGAATTGAGATTCCTGAATGAAAACCACATTTACTGTCAGAGTTTTGTTCATCTGAGAAAAAGATTCCATCCTGCTCTTTCCATTATTATTTATCACTAAGCTTGGAAACGATTGTCGATTTGACCCCCATTAACTATTAGAAAATCAAACATTCTAAAAATAAATATTTTTGAGCAAAATTCTACTAAAAAATTCCCATGACTATGGGAACCAAATAACGGGGGCATGACACTGAATCTCTGAATAATTTCAAAGAAGAGATTAGAACAGATTTGAAACAGATTTCTCTGCATTACTTAACCTGAAATCAGTGTGGAAGAATTGACTTGATGTGTCAAGTGACACACAAGGATCCGGCAAGTTGTTCGAACATTTCAGTAGGTTCTATAGGCACAGCGCAGTGCAATGCGCTGAAAAAATACACTGCATGCTGTACTTTTTTTCAGCGCCCACCACCACAAACACAGCCATCTGGAAAATAGGCAAATTGACCTGTCTTGCATTGCAGCTGCACTGGAAAAAACAGCCAGCACAGCTACAACACATTGGGTGTGAACGAGCCCTAAATGTAGTTAGATTCCATGTTTTGATTGCACAAGAAAAACAGCAAAAATACCATTATTTTTAGCTTTTGTATAATGTATAATGAAATATTATATGAAATATGATAACTTTCTTATGTTTTTGTTCAGCTGTTTTAGGTTATTTATACATATA